TGCAAAGATAGGGAGCAAATACATTAGCAGGGATGCCGTGCTTTCAGTTTTAGAGTCCCCAAATAAAGTGGCAGCCCTGTCAATGTATTTGCTCCCTATCTTTGTATGGAGAGTTTGTCTTGATGTAGAGGTGGACTCTCAGGATAGGGTGGGATAACCCCTCCATTTTGGCCTTAACTTGAAAGCTTTTTTTGAGCTTGGGAGATGATTTCAGAGAAAACCAGTGGCACCATCGTGTTTCTCGCAAACTTTTACATAAGAAACAACAGTCAAATCGCAAATCCCTCACACATGCAACATCTCCATTATATCGGACCTGAATCGATAAGATTTTCTTATTCTTTTCGGACTAACCCGTTAAAAATATGCACATAGTATAGGCCACTCGGACGATAAGATCGGGAGACGTAACCGCTTTTCAAAATCCCCGTCGAAATCGTCAAGTTGCTCACGCAACGCGCGCGCGGTCCCACCGACCCGACCGAGCGGGACCCGAAAACGGGGCGCGACTCTGCCGTGTTGAGGAAGAACGTCGTATGAACACTCGAGAGTTGCCAAATTTCCCTTGATAAAACGCGTATTTTGGACGACATTCATGCGCATTTTTCTTTGAAATTTTCGAATATTGTAGATCAAATTGCGTACCAAACTGTCTGACAATTTCGGGGAAAAACATTCACAATTGGACGGAGTTAAACAGAACGGAACCAAGCCACATCGGGATCAAACCGAGAAAAAGAGGTTTAAAGTTTGGCTCTTGCATAAGACGCAATGTAAAAGATAAACTTCAAGTTCAATTTCTGCAAAATTTGCTCCAACAGAAACGTTAAATTTTTGGCGATAGATAGTAGAGCAGTGGTTAAGTTCAAAACCACTCATAACTCAATTTTTTCCAAAATGTGGGTTGGTTCCTTTCTGTTTAACTCAGTCCAATTTTCCCAATGATTTTGGTTTTTATCGAAGGAAATTTTGAAGGTAAATGATAAGTTTCCCAGGTAAAGGAGTAAATTGCGTACAAAGTTGTCTGAAAATGTTGGAGAAAAATATTCACGATGGAGATGTTGCATGTGTGAGGAATTTGCGATTTGACAATTGATTCTTATGTAAAAGTTGGCGAAGAACACGATGGTGCCACTGGTTTTCTCTGAAATCAACTCCCAAGCTCAAAAAACACTCTCAAGTTGAGGTCAAAATGAAGGGGATATCCCACGCTATCCTGAGAGTCCACCTCTACATCGAGACAAACTCCCCATGCAAAGGTAGGGAGCAAATACATTGACAGGGCTGCCACTTTATTTGGGGACTCTAAAACTGAAAGCACGGCATCCCTGCTAATGTATTTGCTCCCTATCTTTGCATGGAGAGTTTGTCTTGATGTAGAGGTGGACTCTCATGATAGCGTGGGATATCCCCTCCATTTTGGCCTCAACTTGAGAGCTTTTTTTGAGCTTGGGAGTTGATTTCAGAGAAAACCAGTGGCGCCATCGTGTTTCTCGCGAACTTTTACAGAAGAATCAACAGTCGAATCGCAAATTCCTCATACAAGCAACATCTCCATTTTCCCATTAAATTCGTTTCTCATCGAAGGAAACTTGGCAACGTCTGAAGACTCATACGGCTTTCTTCCTTAGCACGGCAGAACTACTCGTCGCTTGCGTAACCCTTCTGGAAAGCTCGTCTCCCCGCTCGAGCTCACACGAAAGCTGCGTGAGGCACGACGAAAATCGAGGGTATCCAAATCGAGGGAACCATCTCCATAGTGACACGAGCCCTGTCAACGCGCACTCTTACGGGACTCAGGGACCAAGTCATGGTGGGGATAGTTGGTTTTGGTTTGGAAACGTCCACTTATTCCCCACACGAACGCAAATCACGCAGCTCGTTCGATTGGGTCGTGGGACATCGGTATTGCTGATCGCTATTGCTGATAGTTTGAAGTTTGACGAACTGAGGTGGTGATGGATGATTGGTTTTATTTCGGCTTATATCATAAGAGCGGTTTCGGTGATAGGTGTTGATGTAAGGGTCATAACACGATCTATTGACGGGTTTGATGTGGCGTCATGTCCTGAAAGCGAAAATCACGTCGGTGAGATCAGCGATCATAGAGTCGAAACTATGAGCACCTCGACGGTGAAACTGCAAAAACGCGTTTCTCGCTTTGCGACGGCGACGCTCCGGACCTTCCGTCATAATGCGTTATTTTAATGGAAAGTTTTCTAACGTCACTTCTAGGAACTTTTAGACTTTGCAAAATTGTGTGTTCATTTTGGTTAGATTGCCAACATATTCCGATACATTTTTACTTCACATTTTTCCAGCTCTCAAAAAGTCCATTTTTCAATTTTTTTAACCCTTTTTCCCTACCTTCTTGTATATCAACATTAATTTTAATTACTGAACTTGCAACTGATAGCTACATAGATTATAGCCAGCCAATCACGTGTAAGCTTGTTATCTCCCACCCGTGACGTCAGCAAGACTATATAAGCGTGGGTTGCCCTAAAATCTAGGTCTGCCTCAATCACAACGTCTGTAATCTTATTCCATCTCTCTGAACTCTTGTGATTTTTCTGAACATCTAGACCCGTGGAACGTACACGTACAGCGTACACTCTCAATTTCTCTCTCGCGCCCTTCAATAATTTTGTGCCCTTTCTAGCGATATTACGTTTTTCTATTAAAGTGTTTTCTTTTCCGAACTGTTGTGTAATATTTGTGCTCAAATTTTCCGATAGTAATATAATCGAATGTAACTCGAGAAAACTCAGTGTCTTAATTTGATTCATGTCTGTAGTTTGTTGTTCCTACCAAAAGAGCAACTGGTGCCGAAAACATTTCTCGCTATAACATCTGCGACGTCCTTTTTTTATTTCGGCCTAGACTTTCAACGACATAGTGCGAATTTGAGTTCTAACGAAGTGCCGAACTTTACTTCAGTTCCAACATGATGCTGAAACTCGCTCAAGTTCTGACATGGTGACTCAACCATTTCTCAAAAGAACTCAAGTTCTAACATAGGTTTTCTTGCGTTCCTCTCTGGCCGGCCTGAACGCTGGTGACGAAAAAACTGCCCGCAGACGGAATGAATTTGAAAAAACTCCGAACGCGAATTATGCACAGAGGATTGGATTTCAGACGTTTCTGATATGTTTGTTGACGCTATGATAATGAAATATTGAAAGAAAGTTGGGTTGGCTTTATCTCTGGTAAACAACAGTTCCGTTTATAAAGCAATCAAATAACATTATACCGTCATGCTAAAAAAAAAAAAAAAAAAAAAAAAAAAAAAAAAAAAAAAAAAGAAAATAAAGGAAGAAAAAAACGTCGTATGAACCTTAAGGCATCGCAAAATTGCCCTGGATAAAATACTGATTTATTGGAAACGTTGTAAATATTTTTCTTCCAATTTTTCAGCCAATTATGCCCGCAATTAATTCTAAAACATCTGAAAATTTCGAGGGAAAATGTGCATAACTTTGCTCACAAATGCATGGTTTATTCAGGGAAAGTTGGTGACTTTCGAATGTTCATACGGTGTTCTTCTTTGGCACGGTAGCATAGGGTACCAGAATGTAGACGTAAGATCAATGATCCCTCGATCATGACACGTTCGTTTCCGGTTGAGCCCTTATAGCCACACAGTTAAGACGTTTTTGCTAATCTGAGGCACATCATAAAGACATGAAACATATTCGCAGCAGTACCCGTACCGTCAGTGGCGTAACGGACTTCCGCTGGGCCCCCCCGCAAAATTTTTTCTAGGCCCCCGCCCCCCCATGTCGATAAAATTCCAAAATTATCCCCCCCTCTCACCCCTTCCCATTTTTTGGCCCGAGGCATTTCAAATCACGGACTTGGACTCGGAATGCCTTACCCCTCACCATCCCAGATCCCGTACCCGATTATATGGGACCCCTAAAGGATCAAGGATCTAAAAGGTGGCAGGAGCCCAGCCCAGGCTCAAGAATCTATAGAGGGGCCCCCAAGAGCCTTGGGGGCCCTTTAGATTATTTGATCTCCTAAAGCCCGAAATACGAAAAGTGACAAAAAAAGAAAAACATTTTAGTAATCACTGAGTGGACATTGGAAGGCGGGGGCCCCTCCAGCAAACAAAAAGTTTGGAACAGTCCGAAAGAAGTATGAAAAACCCTGAGCTAACAATAAAAATCAGAGGAAGAAGCCCCACCTCGGTAAGTAAAGGCCCAAAGTTTGAAACCAAAGCAAAGCATCAAAGAGAAAGAGAGAAAAAAATTCCGGCGGCCGAGGGCCCCCTTGGCGCCTGGGCCCCCCCTGCATAGCAGGGTCTGCGGGGGCGCCCGTTACGCCACTGCGTACCGTCTCCCAGCCGCAAAAGCTGGTTACACATCGCTACGCAGAGTGCGAAAATAGTTATTTACTCTAATCTTGGAACCCTTGAAATCAGGATCAATTCTGGACTGACACAACCGCATCAGACCAACAGCGTCGAAAAGATCTAGAATGCCGTCGAAAACGAAGAAGTGGTAATTCTAGACTAGACGTCGATAGGAAAAGTAAGCTCGAACGAAATTAGGTGATGCGTGATCCAGTTGATCATGAGTTACGTAAAAATCGTCAAAGCGTTCTTCCATCGCTGATAACTCTTCAGACTTGACATGAAGAGAAAACTCAGGCTCTCTTCAAAATGTGGAGAGGTGAAGTTCTAAACTTAAGTACGCCTCTCGCCCTCAGACCGAGAATTAAGGTCAATTAAATGTGAACTTTTCCTTTTTCACGCATATTATTATATTTTAATCAATTAATCGTGTACGTTGTGGTTGTGGTTGTCGTGAAGAAGTATTGTTGTATTCAGTCATATTTTAGAGCAGGCGGTAAGTGAATATGCGTATGGTGAATTTTTAACGGCACTGTTTTGAAGGACGGCAGCAAGTTGAAGAGTATTCTTCTTACTGCAAAGAGACGCCCTGGCATGTTAAAAATCGTGTAAATGAGCTAAAAAAATAATGATGATTACTCACCGATGCACATGATTATAACCTGGAAACAGATTATCAGGAGTGAGGTGGGTGCACAACGACTGGTCATGGCCAAGAGGCCCCTCAATCGGATCCGTAGCAATTAGTTGTCACTGAAACAAAAAACAAAAAATAAGACTGTGAATTAAAACTGTTCGTAAACGGAGAAAAACAGTGAAATGAGTGTTCATGCAAATACTTAGATTGGTAAAAAAATAAAAAAAAGACTTTATTCCCTATTTGAAAACTGCGTTAAGACTCGCCATATTCGAAAGGAAGAGCATCAGAAACTTCGCGCTAAACTTCGATTTTAGAAACTCAGAAGTGATGAGATTATGCCAGATTGAAGTCAAGATGAAGATTGTAAGACAACATGCTCGGAAAAGTTTCAGAAAATTTTGAAAATACAAGTTTTGAGATTAGACAAATTTCCTTGGAAAATTTCGACGGTTATTTTTGAGAAAAAAACCATACGCGTCGTTCTAAATTTTTGCAGATTAACTGATCTCGGTTGTTCTTCTTCTCTATGTATCCTGCCTTGGTTTTTTTTTTCCTCATCCGGGACAAAGTGATTTTTCTGCGTTTGGTTTTTTTTCTTCTTTTGAGAAAAAAATAAATAGTTTTACTTCAAAAGCTGTTAATTCCGGCAAAATTTTTGAATCTTGTGTTTGATTGGTTGTTTGACATACCGTATATGTAATTCGACTTTATTACCCAAACTTTTGGCAAGGTCAGCAATATTCGAGAAAAGCGGAGCATCAGCGTAAAATATCAGCGAGAAAAATCATTCTCAACGACATATAAATCCTTTCCGAGAGCGTCGAACACGGACTGAGGTCCGAGCAGAATGATCATCGTCCAATGAGCCTTGGGAAAATTTCATTCCCACCGCATGGAAGGCAAGGACTGATTTGAGTCGATAAGTGAATCCCCAAAACACCGAGCCGGAGCGTGCATTGACCGCGGCTGAAATTATTTCGCCTCAATTTTGGCTGGCGCTTTATGCTGCCGTGCTAAGGAAGAACGTCGTATGAACATTCGAGAGTTGCCAAATTTCCTTCGATAAAATGTGCAATTTTTAGGAAAGTTAAGAATACCTTTCCTTGAGATTTTCAGAATCTATCGGTAAAATTGTAAACTAAATTATCTCAAAAATTGGGAGGAAAATATTCTGAAATTTACTGGGAAATTCGCGTTTTATGAAAGGAAATTTGGCAACGCCTGAAGGTTCATACGGCGTTTTTCCTTAGCACGGCAGTATGAGTGACGCCCTTGAACCGAGCTGGGTGCAATTACGAGGAAAACTACCACTGGAATTGCAGCGTGCATTTCGTAATCGTCGTAATCCTGCCACCCGCGCTAATGTCAGCGGCGCACAATGGATCGAGTGAGTGGGGGAGGTCTGACAAAATTTGGAAACCTTAAAAGCTCATAACTCCGTTCATACAAAATTTTGAGGCTTTCAAAGTGACTCCATTGGTTTCCTCGTAAAATTTCCGTCTAGGTGCACCCCTGAAAGTTTAAAATATGAAGAATTAAACATCAAAATTTCCAGTTTTGGTTTAACATTTCATGTCAAACCTCTCTGATTGACTCGACCCACTGTGCGGCGCAATGTTTGAGTTGGCGGGGCGGGATGCACAACGACACAGCTGTCACATTTTTGAACGGACGCGCAGATATGCTCTTATTGGTAACGGCAAGCTCTCTAAAGCCTTAAGGCATGGGCGGAATTGGGGACTTTTTGTGTGAGCAGGGCAGAAGGAAACCTCGTCAGAGGGAATTTAAGGATACCAGGGTTGCCACAGAATGTAGAAAATGAAATTCCCTGACATTTCCCTGATTTCCCTAGCACATTTTGGTGAAATTTCCTGACAATTAAATAAATGCCAGATGGTAAAAAGATGGTAAAAATAATTAGAAATAGTTTTCAGGCAAAATTTGTCGTTCGAAATGGCAAGCCCATTTTGAAAAGCAAATAAAGGTGACGTGATGATTTTTCCCTGACATTTCCGTCATTTTTCCTGACATTTTCCGGGTTTCACTGACTTTTTTAAATTCCCTGACATTTCCCGGTATTCCCTGACTGTGGCAACCTTGCCTGTAGAGGTGGACTCATGGGATTCTTTCCAAGGGGGGTTTCGGGGATTTCCTTAGCGCTAAAGGAGCTCATGGGAGATTTCGAAAAATCGAGTAGGCTCAATAGCAATTTTGGGCTGCTCTGACCAACGAATTGATCGAATTGAAAATTCAAAGGTGCAAAATATGGCACATTTCTTCTTCAGCAAAATCCCTCATATTTCTCGGAAGGAGCCGAGTAAATTCTGGGGGGGGGGGGGGCACGCCACCCCATTCTAGTTCTGCCCACGACTTTAGGGCCGTATTCATAGTTGTTATTTAAACAGGTCATTTCCTTAGGGACGTCCCGTATGGTTTGCATTGTGATTAAGGGAGGTTTTAGGCCGCCGTAAATATATCATCCCTAAAAGCATACAATTTTTACAAAACTCGAGTAAAATTCGACAGTTGCAATCAATGCTAGATCTTAACGATGGATTACAATGATTCGCGACTCCGGCAAATACAAAATGTGGAAGAAAATATGCTACAGATTTTGAAAATTTTAAGGTAGATCCCTTATTCTTAAAAATTTCCAAAATTTATTAGATTTTTTTCATAGCTGTTTTGTGTTGCTTGCAGTAAAAAATCACTAAAATCTGTAATAGGAACCTACTTCCACAGTTTAATAGTTGCACTGTACTCAAGTTCCGCGAGAATTGTTCGTCCGAATTACGTATTTTTTGCGGTGATAAATCATTAAAAAACCCCCGGTGACGATCTATTTCTGAAATGTGCTGCCAAAATTCACCCAAAATTTCGCAAAAATTGTACTTTTTTAATCCTACATTAGCAACGCCCTTAAGCTCCCCCGAATAACGTTTAGACCGAAACGGACTAAAGAACGAGTGGGAATACGATTTTTAAGCCCACCTTACAGGAAGAGAAGCAAAAGAACAAATTTACCATTTTAAGATTCTTTGCTTGATTAAAATCAATAATTAATGTTTTGAAAATATTATCTGGGTTATATGACCTTTGATTTTGTTTTAAATTTTTTAGTCTATAAAATTTTCAAATTTTTCATTCTTTTGAGGCAAAATCACACAAAATATCCTCCAAATACGCCGATTGTGACAAAAACCATCCAATTCATTTTTCACCCTCTTCACTATGACGCATCACGGCGGTTTTAACGATTATAGGATTGAATTTTTCGAAGCAACAGCGCAAATCACCGTTCTTATTCGGGCAATCGTTTATTTCAATTAAGAGTTTCCAATTATTCCAGGCCACTTAGCGCGGGCCCCACGTTTAGCCCGGCGCGGCGACTGCAAGTCAAGCTCCGGTAATTCCGGGCTCGTGCCGGCAGAAAATGACGTCGCACAGCACGAGGGCCCGAGGGGGGGCCGAGGGGGGGGGCGAGGGGGGGCCGAGGGGGGCGAAGGGGACCTCTTTACGAGCACTGATAATTTGCCCACGAGTCGCGCGCCCGAGTGCCAGAAGCGCGGGAAATTTTTAGGGAGCGATAATAATTAGAAGAAAATCTGATGCGCGAGTTCCAACTTGCGGCTGGATCCTAAGTCCAACAATCCAATTTTTTCGCAGAACTTTTGGGGAAACGCGATGGAGTAACTAGTTTTATCTGAATTCAATGGAGATGCTGCATGTGTGGGGGATTTGCGATTTGACCATTGATTCTCATGTAAAAGTTTGCGAGAAACACCATGGTGCCACTGGTTTTCTCTGAAATAAACTCCCAAGCTCAAAAAAAGCTCTCAAGTTGAGCCCAAAATGGAGGGGATATCCCACCCTACCCTGAGAATTCACCTCCACATCAAAACAAACTCTCCATGCAAAGATAGGGAGCAAATACAATAGCAGGGTTGCCGTGTTTTCACTTCTGGAGTCCCCAAAGAAAGTGGCAGCCCTGTCAATGTATTTGCTCCCTATCTTTGTATAGAGTTTGTTTTGATGTAGAGGTGGACTCTCAGGGTAGGGTGGGATATCCCGTCCATTTTGGCCTCACTTTGAGAGCTTTTTTTGAGCTTAGGAGATGATTTCAGAGAAAACCAGTGGCACCATCGTGTTTCTCGCGAACTTTTACATAAGAATGAATGGTCAAATCGCAAATCCCTCACACATGCAACATCTCCATTCCCGCGCTCAGAATGGAGTCTTGCCATGACTGTGCGATGTAAACTGCCGTACTAAGGAAAATGCCGTATGAACACTCACTGGAAAAAAAGTAGCTTGGATCTAGAGCCCAAACTCTTGAAAACGATGACAAGAAAAAATACTCTTGATTCAATCGGACTTTTTCTTGAATCGAGAGCCAAGCCTCTCAGTCTAAGCGGATTTCCTTTTGATTCAAGCAAAATTCCGATTGAATCAAGAGTATTTTTTCTTGTCTTTGAGAGAACGGACTCTAGATCCAAGAGACTTTTTTCCGGTGCAGACCTACACTTAACAGATGTCCAAAATCGGATGAATTTCATTTTTCAATTCGCAGCCGTATACGTCATCTGAGGACGTCTTCTTGTGACACGTGACGTTGGCAACTGAGAAAGAAGAGTGACAACGATGACTAGGGGAATTTTAGCAGCACGACGAAGCGTGGAGTATCCACCGATGACGTTGCAGCGGCAATAAATCATCCAACGATCAGCTCGCTTCCAAGTTCCACTCTGACACTCCGATCATTGGATGTCGCTCAAACCTGTCAAGTCAACTCGCTCGCGATCTCAAAGATCCAGTGGCGTGGCGTGAATTGCGATGTATCGATTGTTATGCCATTTAAACCTATGGTAAAGAATCGATTATTAAGGTGTTCGCTGCGAACACCCTGATTATCGATCCTTTGCCATAGCTTCAAATGGGGAAATATCGATACATCACAAAGCACGCCACGCCACTGCAAAGATCATGTAGGGGGGGGGGGGCTATCAAGTTTCATATGACAGATGACTCCCTTGCAATCCCCCCCCCCTACCGTTCTGTTCCTTCTTCTTCCACTTTTTTTTTTTATTTCGGGCTACGTTTTTCTCTACACTTC